TACGTGACAGAATTTACTTCTTGGCTTGGCTTTACATATGAGAATCCTTTTATGATCAATCTGCTTTTTTAGGAATTTTTGAGCAAATTTCCTTTTTCGTTAGTCTATTGTATACAATTTTATCGTTATGGATATTCTATTTTAAACAAATGCGTCATTTTAGACTTTAAATTCAAGATTGCAAGAACCAGATAACGATCTATCGGTCAAGAATAACCCACGGCTTTTCAAATTATTGCGATAGCGACTTAGATCATTGTTGATCTTCTCACATGTTTGAATGAAAACTTGAATTCTTTTACATGTAGTTTCATTTACTAGAACTTTTTGTTACAAAGCCAAAATTTGCGCTAGATTAACAGTATTTTAACTTTACTCGTCAGCGTACGAATATCTAGCATCGCCGAATCACACACTCTTGATTATAATGTAAGCGAAGGTTCGTTTAGAACGTGCCAACAATAAAGACACCGATCACAATTCATGGCGGTTGTGATCATATTAAGAAAAATTATGTAGGTATCTTTTACTTTAGTCAATATTCGTGAAAAATGGTATTTATGAAATTGATTATGAAATTGATCGTTAAATGCACAATTTAGGTTAGGGTTGCTGTGATATTCACAAAAAATGACGATTGCACCGGTATCACCCACCACAACAAAAGTCCAACCATCCATATAAGTTTCTATTAAAAGCCTAGCGTAGCATAATTAACGTCATGCATGTACAAATAATTACCATACCGCAGAATTTTATTTATGAAACGAGTGCACCAAACAAAAATACATGTCGGAATATAAATGTAAATACAGTAACACGTTGGTTTAACTCAGCTAACCAGTTTGCTTTTAATAAGTCGAATTTTCAATTTTTTTCTATTACATGTACATCAATGGTCATTGTTGTGTTCTTTCCATAAAAAATCAATTTTTTTCTTTACGATAAATAAATATACCATTAAAACTTATTTTGAAAGCTTACCTCGAACAAGTTATTATACCTTTACAAAATTAAAGAGACAATAGAATAATTTGTAAATATGACAAAGAGTGTTATTGTTGTGTACGTATTTTTAAGATAAATTTGGGTACCTGATATTTTCTTTTGCTATGAAAATTAACAATATCTTAAATACGATGAATAGCGGAGCAGGACTATCGGGTCTTCGTGCGGCCCAACTATTTCATAAAGCTGGATACAAGGTTACTGTGCTGGAAGCAGATAATCGTATCGGGGGACGAGTAATGGGTTTTGAATTGAAAAATGGACAAAAAGTTGATCTTGGAGGTTTGTTTTCTTTTATCGCAGATTCTTTTGTCGCGTGTTTATTTACTTCATTGTTAAATGATTAAGGTCAATGGGTCGGAAAAACACAAAAACCAATATTGGATCTATTGAACGAGCTCGGCGTCGAAACTTACGAACAATACAATAAAGGTCAAAAAATACATTGGCGAAGGAAAGGTGCCACAAAGTCGTTTAGTAGCTCATCGCAAATACCGCCATTGAATTTCTTTGGTAATTTTTTTTTTTCTACTTTAATTAAGCTCGCTTCCTCTTTTGAGTATTTTATCAAGAATTTAATTTTATTCGGTATAACAGCTTTACTTGATCTACAATTTAACGTTATTTTGACTTTGGATCGATTGATGAAAGAGATAAATTTGGATTATCCGAAAAAATCAAGTACGAAATTAATCCTTTGACATTTGCCAAACGGACGAAATTTAATTTTTTATTATTACCTTATGCAACGAAAAAGAAAATGCCGAATACTGGGATTCTATAACTGTTGAATCATGGGCAAAATCAAAAGTTAAAACCACAAGCGCAAGAGAATTACTAGACGTAGCAATACGCATGATATGGGGAGCCGAAGCGAAAGAAATGTCAATGTTATATTTCTTGATGTATTTAAAATCCGGGGGAGGTTAGTAAAACGATATGATTTTTCACATGAATTTCGAGAGAGAATTGATCTGTCTTTTCTCCATTCTAGGAATCATAAATTTATCTGAGACGAAAGACGGCGCACAGGAATATAAAATCAAAGGGAGCGCACACAACGTAGCACACCTCTTAAAAGAAAAACTTCCGGAAGATTCTGTGCTTCTCGAACATCAAGTCACTAGCATTCATCATGACGAACACCAAGTCACAGTCTTTAGTGGGGATAAATCGTTCACGGGAGATTATTTAGTGCTTGCTATTCCGCCACCAGCACAATGTAAGATTGCAATTGAGCCACCACTTGGGCTGCCGCGTAATAAAGTAAATTTTAATTAAAACAGTGAATATTTCGTTTCCATCCTTTAATGAAAAGTTAAAATTCGTTTCATTTACAGTTATGTGAGAAGATATTCATGGCTGCCATGATAAAAATATGTATAGTCTATGAAAAAGCTTGGTGGCGTGAAAAAGGATTTGTTGGCGAGGCAATTCCCTTTGATAGTTCGCCAGTCAAAAATGATGATGGATTGTCACCTTTTTCAATGGTTGGTAAAGAAAATTTAATTCTCTTTTATCAATCGTATTGAATTTGACTATTTAATCTATAGGTGGTCGATGGATGCAATGATGATTTATCAGTTACTGCCTTGACAGTATTCGTTTCTGGGAAACATGCAATTGCGCACACGAAGGTACGATACTATCTTATGTTGTATTCGTTAGCCACATTTTTTCCCTCTCAATCGAGTATCTCATTATTACACAGTTACCTCAAGAAGAAACAAAGACCCGAATTCTCAATCTTCTCTCGAAAATATTTTCCTCCGAAGATGCGAAACAACCAATCGAGTACATTGAAAAGAATTGGTTGCTGGATGAGTGGATTGGTGGTGCCCCCGCTGGGATCTGTGTATGCTATTTCTGTCTTTTCCTATTCTCTCGTTTCCGAAAAAGCATTGTCAAAAAACAATTTGTGATTTATTAACTTTCTCACGCATTTTTCTTTCTGGTTGGTGAAAACAAAATCCATAGCCACCAGGATGTCTGAGCTATTACGGAGACGCACTTCGACAACCAGTTGGAAGAATATATTTCGCAGGTATGAATATTTTTTCTTTCCGTATCAAATGGTTATACATGTCATGTACCATGTCTAAGCCTTATTTTGTGTAACAGGAACTGAAACAGCATACATGGATATGGGATACATGTCTGGTGCGATACAAGCTGGCGAACGAGTTGTGGCAGATGTTTTAAAGTATGAAGGGGTTGAAATGTAGGGAGGTAATAGTACAGTTTTGTTGTCGCACTCTTTATATTCACTCATCTGGAAACCAAAAATTGTGTGATTACATGTATATAGAGATGCGACTTTGTATAAATTGATTACAATTTATTGTACATGGGTATTATTATTTTATTCACAGCATATAATTATTACTATCGCTATTTGTTTTTAATATTTCTTATCGTTATTCCTCAGGCTTGAATCCCATGTCAACATCTTGCTTTGCATATAAAACTTCAAGTGCATCAGTACTCTTTTCCTTATGATTGTCGAATCACGAACACGTCAAAGTTAATGTTGTTGCGAACATTATGTATTTGCTGTACATATTCGAAAGAATATGATATCAAAAATTGAATATTTTTTTTAGTTACGTTTGCTTTAAAGATTATGCTTTGAAATTTTTACTGTTTTATGAGGATATTAGTTTTGAAATAGGTAAAATATTATATACGTGTTTATATATTTTTAATATATTAGATAAACTAATAAAAATTTATCAAGAATTCCTAAAAAAGCAGATTGATCATAAAAGGATTCTCATATGTAAAGCCAAGCCAAGAAGTAAATTCTGTCACGTA